CCGGTGCCTGGTGGTGACTTTGCTGAGGGAGGCGACAGGCCATTGCCCATCTCTGTCCCTAGAGCTGCTGTGACATAACACCTCTTGTCTTGTGGATTCTCGTGTAGATCCCAGAAAGCCGGAGTGCTTGGATCCTGCCTGCCTCTGACCCAAAGACGGTAAAAGGGGGCTGTAGGCATGACTTGGTGGTCCTTGCCCTCTCTGGTGTGAGGGGTGCTCCTCTGGGGACAATCAGTGGAACTCTTTGTGGAAAGGCTCTTCTCAAAAATCTGCTTTTATGGTGATTGGTTCTCAGAAGTCCATGCACTCGGGTCGCTAGCCAGATGAGTTCTGCCTTGAGAGTTCTCTCTTGCAGCTGCCTTGGCTCCTGCCTGCTGCTGCCTACCTCTGGGAGCTGCCTGGCCGTGTCAGACACTCAGGGTGGCTGGAATCTTCTGGGGTGGTGTGTTTTGGCCGAGTTGACTTCCAGCCAGCTTGCTTTCCCACGCCTGCTCCTGCCAGCGCAAGGGAGGTGGCACGCTGTGCTAGGGAGGAAGGTACAGCCGTAGTGCAAACCAAAACAGACTCCAAAAAAAAGATGTTTCTGTTGATGGCAGCTGCGCGGCCTTGAGGTGAGCAGGAAAACTTCGGCAGAGAGCCAAGGGGAGCAGAAAAGCTAGCACCAGGGCAGGGGGCGGTGCACAGCCAGGCAGCAGACCCCGGACAGGGCAGCTGAAAAGGGCAGATTTAGGATCGGGAACACAACTTGCACAGCTGCAGTGGGTTGCTCTACCCTGTAGATGCCAGACCCGAGTGTATCTGCTTCCCTCCTTGGGCTCAGATGCTGCAGTCTGGGGTCTCTGGAGCTGGGTGCATGCACTCTCCGGTCTCTCTTCCTGTCTGCAAAGGTGGTGGATGGCAATGGGACTAGTCTTGGCTTGCAGGAGGCAAGGGGATGCTGTGACATTTTTGGCTTGGTGGCCGGAGGCTCAGGTGTTGTGGGGTGCAGGGCTGCTCGCAAGCAGGTGGCAGGAGGGCTGCGGGTGCAACAGGCAGGGAGTGCTGCCCTGCACACCATGGTCTTTGCCCCGAGGATTTCCCATCTGGGGCTGCCAGTGTCAGCAGCAGTGTGCTGCAGGAGCTAATCCTGGTACCTGTGGTGCGCCCTCAGGTCTGGTGCCCTGACGGGAAGCTGTTTGCCACATGCCGGTTGCTGCCAGTTGCGTGCTGGCAGCGTGGCCTCGTGCCTTCCTAAGGCAGAGGAGGCTTCTTGCTGGGTCATACTCCTTGTGGTTTAGGCCCAGCCTGAGCTCCACACAGTTACTTGCTCACTCCCCTCTAATGTGATGCAGGAGAGAAGCAGAAGAGTAAAATGAGAAAACCATGGGTTGGGATAAAGATGATTTAATAAGCAAAGCAAAACAGGGAATTCATTCACCACTTCCCATGGGGCCATCTCCAGGAAAGCTGGGCTCATCACATGTAACTTGGGAAGACAAACACCATCACTCTGAACACCTCCTCCTAATTCTTTCCCCAGCTTTATATTCTGAGCATGACATCATATGGTGCAGAATATCCCTTCAGCTAGTTGGGGTCAGCTGTCCCACCTGTGTCCCCTTCCACCTTCTTGTGAACCCCCAGCCTACTCACTGGTGGTGCAATGCATTATAAAATCACAGAATGGTTCCTAGAATGGTTGGAGTTGGAACGGACCTTCAAGATCATCTAGTTCCAACACCTTCCACTAGATTATGTTGCTCTAAGCCCCATCCAACCTGGCCTTGAACACTTCCAGGGAGGGGGCAGCCACAACTTCTCCAGGCAACCTGTGCCAGTGTCTCACCACCCTCATGAAAAGGAATCTAGTACCTAATCCAAGTTTACCCTCTTCCAGTTTGAAACCACTTCCCTCATCCTATCACTCCCTGCCCTTTTAAAAAGTCCCTCCCCAGCTTTCCTGTAGCCCTTTCAGGTACTGGAAGGTGCGATAAGGTCTCCCCAGAGCTTTCTCTTCTCCAGGCTGAACAATCACAACTCTTTCAGCCTGTCTCCATAGCAGAGCTGCTCCAGCCCTCTAATCATCTTTGTGACCCTCCTCTGGACTTTCTCTAAGAGCTTCATGTCCTTATGTTGGAAACTCAAGAACTGGGCACAGTTCTGCAAAAGGGGTCTCACAAGAGTGGAGTAGAGGGGTAGAATCACCTCACTGGCCCTGCTGGCCACACTTCTGATGCAGCCCAGGATATGGTTGGCTTTCTGGGCTGCAGGCACACATTGCTGGCTCATAGTGAGCCTTTAATCAGGCAACACCCCTGAGTCCTTCCCAGGGCTGTTGTAAATCCATTCCCCACTCAGCCTGTAATTGTGCCTGGGGTTACCCTGACCCAGATGCAGGACCTTGCACTTAGACTTGTTGAACTTCCTGAGGTTGTCATGGTCTCACTTCTCAAGCCTGTCAAAGTCCCTCTGGCTGGCCTCCCTTCCCTCCAGTGTGTTGACTTCACCATACACTTTGGTGTCATCAGCAAACCTGCCAAGGGTGCCCTCAGTTCCACTGTCCATGTCTCCAGTAAAGATGTTAAACAGCATTAGTTGCCCTGAAGCTCTAGCTCTGAGTAAGCACTGCTCATCCATTATGAAAACATCTCTGTATTATCAACTCAAATCCAAAACATAGACCTATACTGGCTGCTCTGAAGAGAATTTACTCTGTCCCAGCCAAAAGTAGCACATTGCCACTTGGCTGGAGGGGTTTGCCATTTTTTGGCCATTTGGTAGTGCCAGTGGTGCCTTGCAGCAGGTTGTCACCATGGTGCAATCAGGGACTTGGTTGTTGGCTGGGGAGTGGGCAGTGAGCAGGTCATGGGTGTTGGGGTGATGCTGGGTGTTGCCCAGGCTGCTCCAGGCAATGGTGATGGTGGTGCAGGCTGAAGCTGAAGGTGGACTACAGCCTCACCACAGGCTGCAGTACCTTGTACAGATGGGGTCAGGGCGTTGCCAGCTGCTCCAGGTGTCGGGTGCTGGGCCTGAGTGGATGAAAAGCCCCCTGAGAGCTCCTGTTTTCCCACTAAATACTCCATGAGAGCCCTGCAGGCAGCTGCTGGTGCTCCCATCACTGTGGCTCCCACGCTGACCCTGTCCATC